GAAGCTTTAACTCGGAAGCCGATCTCCAAAAAGGAGAAGCTATTACAAAGCATGATTAAAGCTAAATTCCGTAAAATCCTGAGCAAATAATATCCTTTTCGTACTGAAATACGGTCCTATTTATAGAAGATTAGGGCGGTGGCTGCGTTGGGCTTCACGGCTTTCTGACGGAATTGACCTTATTGGGCTTCGTTCTTCGAACTTGGGCCAAACTGAAGCTGCTAGGCTTCGTTTTTCGGACTTGGACCGAATTAAAACTGATGGGCTTCATTTTTGAACCTGGGCCGAGCTGACACTGATGGACATCTTCCTCGAATCTGGGCTGAAATTTCTTTCCTTTCTCTTGGGCCTAGAACTTGATTCGGGTCGAATTAATCAACTGGACCTTATAGAGGTCTGGTACCAACATGCACAATTCACATTTATTCATTTTTATGTATTAAATGAGAAACTTGGACCGTTTATTCGTCTTACGAACATGTGCTGCAGATATTTGATTACTTAAAATACTTTGCTGGATAGTTGAATTCCAGAAAATTTTACTGTTCTCTCAGATTAGTATCTCTTACTTAAATTATAGTTATGTTGTTGGATAGTATTAGTTGACGAAAGCATATATATATATATATGTATATCTTTATAAATATCACGGTATGTTATTCTATTGGGCACTAGATAATCATTTTTTATAACTTTTTCTTATACGTATATCCTTTGGGTAGAAACACACTAATGGATACGGTGAAAACTGCTGAGAATGGAGAAGAAATAGGTCTTTTGTTGACAATAAAAAGATAAAAGGAATAAAAATCAAATAAGAAATAAAAAGAAATTTAAAGAAACTCAAAAGAATGTAACTTAACAAAAAGAAATCATTGAGAAATGGAAAGAGCGTATGATCCGGTTCTTAACAACAACAAAAAGGAATGGTCGGGGGTGAAAAGAAGTAAATGGAAAGTGCGGGAAACAGCGAGGAATAAGGTAAAGCTCATAGCCTTCTTAAGAATTTTGAATGAGAGTAAGCAGCGAATAATACTGTTTTCGGAACTCATTTTACTATGAATTTATCTTGTAGGAAACGAGAGACGATTTTATACAGTTAAGCGTGAACTAGAAGCATTCAATGCAATTCATCTTTGAACAAGCACTCATGTTTCTCTCTATGAAGTTTTGTGAGATCTTATCCCTTTCAGATTAAAAAAAAGTTGCAATACAGTCACAATGTCACATAAATGCAAAAGCTAAGTACAAACTCACTTTATATTAATATTGAGATTTCGCTAACACATGTAAAGCTTTAATTCAATTATCATATGGATATGGTGTTCAGATTTTTTATGCAATTGATCGATGTGTAATCTTCAACCATATGAAGAGTCTTCTTATTACAGGCAAAGTCAGATGATACAATGTTTACTCATGTGAGAGCGTAGTGCTCATTATAACCTTTATTTCTAAAGATGTCATCTGTTTTGTAAATCCATTTTTTAAATGAAAACTGCAATGTAGCTGGATTATAAATGAGTTACGTACAAATCTAAATTGTTATGGTTTAAGATCGATAATTTATCTAATTTTTTTGGTTAAACCCAATTTATCTTCATATGCTGTATATTTTCACTGCAAGTCTGAACTAATATATATTATGTCTTTGATTTGGATTATTCTAATTTTTGCTTCCTTCCACTTGATTAAAAGAGACGTTCTCATATGAACAATATCACTCTAATTTTTATATAAAAAAATATCACTCTAATTTTAAAATAATTTAATACTTTTCTTTTATAATAAAATGAAACACTCATTTCTATGTTTAAATAATTTCACCTCATCAAATAATATATATATCTATATATCTTTTTCTTTTCCATTGCACAAGTTTATTTAATTATAAAAATGTTAAATTTTCTTTTCTGAAGAAAGCTAAAAACAAATAAATAAAATACAAATAATATACAGTAACTAATATATAGACATATATAGTAGAAATGTATTTTAGTTATATAATAAAAAACTGATTTTATTTTATTGTAATCTCGAATACATATATATATATAATGTTCTTTTGCCAACATTAAATATTTTTTTTATAATAAATTAAAGTAATAAAAATATTATAAAACAATTTGGGCGTATCCTAGAATAAATCCTAAAATATATATATATATATATATATATATATATATATAAACTCATAAACCTGCATACACGGTTTAATTGTAACCGCTAATTTAATTTTAAATAATGTATGCAAATATGACAAAAAAAAATTGTTGTCATCTATACTATTAAAAGAGAATCTTATTTTTAAATTAACCTTTAGTTAATGTGTTATTTACAATATATATCATTAAATTTCTATAGATTCATTAATGGTAATTCAGTCTTATTATTAAACTGTTAATAAATACATTAATTTAAATTAAATTATATTAGCTTGTTAACAGATAGTACCAATAAATCATATCTGATACTAATAAAATTCAAATTTATTTACTTTTTAAAATATTTTAAAATCTTTCATAATATCTTAATACAACTACCACATATATAGGACATGAATAACTAATATAATTATATATATTATATGATAAATTAAATATATATTATATTATAATTAATTTTTTTCTATAGTATTAAAAGAAAAGCACTACATTGAAATTTTTAAATATTATTATGGTATTTACTAAATGTGATAATTTATTGCCAATGATGAATATATAATCATTGTTTTTTGTTACATATATATATACTATGAAAAAAGATTATGTAAATAATTTAGTTTTTCTGGTTTGTTAATGATTTTTTTACGGGAAATTATGGGTTTGCGGATTTGACAAACACAATTTTGTAGATTTTACGTGTTTTATAATTTTAGCGGAAAATATAGTTTTCCGAGAAAATACCGGTTTGACAACAAATATGCTTTTGTAGATTTAACAGAGACACATAATTTTTAAAATTTAGTCGTAAATCACGATTTTGCAGATTTTACGGGTTTATGGGAAAATACGGGTTTGTGAAATGCGAATAAGGCGATTTTGCAAATTTTATGGGTTTTACAGGTTTTAGCGAGAAAATGCGGGTTTGTGAGTTTGGTGGAAACATATGAGTTTAGAAATTTGGTCATAAAACACAATTTTATAGATTTTATAAAATTATGAAAAACATAGGTTTTTGTAGATTTGGCAGGAAATGTGATTTTGCGGATTTTACGAGGTTTACATGTTTTTGCGGGTTTTATAGGTTTTGATGGAAAATATGGTTTTATGAATTTTATTAAAAATGTAGGTTTGCGGGTTTGACGACAAAATGCAATTTTGCAAGTTTGACAAAAACTACTTAATATTAGAAATTTAGCCATAGAATACGATTTTATGATGTTGGGGGAAAGCATAATTTTTGGTTTTGTTAAAAAATGTGGGTTTATAGTTTTGACAGGAAAAAACGGTTTAATGGAAAATGATATTTTTACAGTTTCTACCAGATTTTTCGGTTTTGGTACAACAAAGTGATTTTACGTTTTTGTAGGAAAATGTGACCTTTTATTTCTATAGAAAAAATGGTTTTGACAAAAAAAACTTGATTTTGTTGTTTAAATCAAATGAAATTTTTATCTGTTAATTTTTGAGATTCAATAGCTGCATCAAATCTCTATTTTTTAGCATTTTAAATATCTAAACTTTGAGATATTATAGAACATGTATTCAGATAAAATATTCGTATACTGATTTAAAAATATTTAAAAGAACAATATTTGAGAACATTTGCATCCAAATATGTATATGGATGCAAAAACAAACAAATCACAAGAATCTTAATTACAAACAAAATAAATCTCTCTTGCATTATAAAACATAATATTTTAAAATATTTGTTACAAAAGTTAACAAAAATCTGCTAATCAAAATATATATTTTTATAAAATCAAGTCTAAATAATTTTAAGAACATAAAATCATAATGTTAAAATAGTTTATATAATCTAATAAAAAAAATTTTTTTGGGCCATAACTTTAAATTTAATAATATAAGCTAATTTTTTTTTTGAACAAAAGTTTACTATAAATCGATTTTTGTAATGACCCAAAAATATTTAATAAAAAGAAATTCGTGCAAGTGCGCAGATCCAAAATCTAGTTTATATTAAGCAAACAAAAATAATTGGATGACCTGTGAAATTGTGTGTATAGACATTTTTAAGGTTTTTTTTTTTTTTTTGAATAATGGGATGTAAAGAAAAATAATTTTATTTGGCTAAACGCATAATTGGATTTGGTCAGAATAAAGGATTTATGAAATTCACGTGTTTTACCTATTGATTACGGATGCCTATCACGCGTGTCATACTGAGAAGAGAAAGAAAAGATGCCGCCAAACTTCGTCAACTCTCCGATTCAAACTGCGGCGAGAAGCCAATTAAAAAGGAAAATGCATTAAGTCGACAAAATTAAAACCGAAAATGAACTATTAAATATTTTTGGTCGACAAAAAAAAGGAAAAAGGAAAAAGGAAAACTTTCGCTTTCAAAAGGTTTTTGTTCGAATGCTTGCTTATCTTCTGAAATTCTCAGATTTCATCGTCATTTTCGGTCGATTGATCCACCCAATCAAAGCAAGCTTTATCGATCTCCCTCGTCTCCTCTGACGTCGTGAGTTTGTCTTTCACCCACTTCCTGAATTACCCTCTCTTTCGATTGAAAGCATCATCTGGATTTTTTCTTCTTCGATTCGAGCATTCAAATCGAGTTTTAGTGTATGGGATCCTAACTGATTGGAAATGGATTCTCATAGGGATCGAATAAGCAGTTTGCCAGATGAGATTCTGGGCAAAATCCTGTCTTTACTTCCGACAAAAGTGGCGGCTTCCACATCGGTTCTGTCCAAGAGTTGGAGACATCTGCTGTTATTTGTAGACACCCTCTGGTTTGATGACTCGATGGTTTCGTATACCATCACGAGCGAAGAAGGAGCAACAGGTCGCTTCTTAGATTTCGTAGACAAGACCTGTGCTCTGTTAAGCAATTCCCCAATCAAGAAACTGTCTCTGCGTCATGTACTTAGACGTGGGCGTGACGATGAATACTCACGAGTCATCCGTTGGATTTGGACTGCAATGGAACGTGGTTTGTTGGAACTACACTTGCACAGCTATTCTAGTGTTGATTTAAAGAGAGAGTTGCTAACGAGCAACACACTGGTGAAGCTCACACTATCCGGTGATTATTGTTTAGGCGAGCATCTGTTCCTCCCAGCGCTCAAGTCACTTTCTCTCTTATCACTTGTTGGGCTTGATCACCCCAACTATTGTCGGCTCATCGATGGCTACCCTGTCCTGGAAGAGTTATTCGTACGTGATGATCGTTCGAATCTGCCCCTTTACGGTACGGTCGTGGCAAGTGAATCCATCAAGCGGCTTGTGGTTTTCCTCAATCTTCCGCATTGTAAAAAGCATCACATAGGGACTTATTATGGAGCACCAAGCCTTGTATACCTTGACTACTCTAGTTATGTCTTTGAAAATTATCAGTTTGTTGATTTGCACTCGCTTGTCGAAGCCAGGCTGGGTCTCAGGTTATGGGAGTCGACTAATGATTATGGTTATTCTGATGTTGATGATTGTTACTATTATTATTCTGATGATGATGAACCAATATAGCCTATATTTGGTGATGTTACAAACCTACTTGCGGGTATAACCAACATTACTACCCTTCACTTGTCTCCTGATTCCCTTGAGGTCAGTTTTTTGCTGCTACTTCTCTTCTATTGATTGCTTTTTTTTGTGTTTGTGGAGGATTTGAATCATATCTTTTTGTTTTTTTGGGTATGTTGTTGTGATCAGGCGTTTCATTTCTGCTGTAAATCCATGCCGATGTTCTACAACCTCCTTAATCTATGTATTGAGAGTAACAAGGACAAAGGCTGGCAAGTAATGCCGCTTCTGCTCAAGAGTTGTCCAAATCTTCACACTTTAGCCATCAAGGTATGCTCAGTTTCTTTTAGACTCAGAGCTTCTTTTTGTCCATTACACACACATGTCAACGAAACTGGTCTTTTGGTTTCAGGGTCTTGTGCACAAAGTCACAAATGGATGCGGAGATGCATGCGCTTGCAACCCTAAGAAAGATAAGAATAAGAAAGAGAAGAAAAGGAGGAAGATTGTGAAGGAGGAGGAGGTATTGTGTTGTTTACAGACATGTCATGTGAAGGTGCTTGAGGTTTCAGAGTACCGAGGTTCTTTTCAAGAGCTGAAACAGATGCGACATTTCTTGGGCAATTTCAAATGTCTTGAGACTCTGAAAGTTGCTGTTGACGCAGACAACAACAGCAACAATTACTTCTTGCGAGCTAATCTACTGGCTATCTCCAGAGTTTCTTCATCAAATTGCAACATCCACTTCATCTGATCATTTTCTTTTCCTTTATATTTCTCGGTTTGATTTTGTATTGTGAACGTAACTGATTATATAAGAGACGTTTACACTTTAGCACACTTTTTCTTAAAGTGATTACGTTTTGCACACTTACTTCAATATAGGACACTTTCAATGATATTTTGTATCTCTAATTTCCTTATTTGCCCTTTTTCTATGGTAATTTTTTTAATTATTAACCACAACATCATATTCTTTCTACCGAGGTCATCATCATCTTCACCATCTCATCATCGCCGATCTCATCTATATATTTGTCAATTTCATCGTCATCTCTGCCAGCCAATACCATCACAATTTATATTAATTTTGAATTAACCAATTATATAGATTTAGTGAAATCTGAAGATTTCTAAATTTATATTAGATTTGGATGTATTTGATTTGCTGTTTGAGTTAATGTTTTGTTTCGATTTCAGAAAGTAGGAGATCTGAATATGTGTATATTGCATACTTATTATTGAGTTAGAAGATTGGTGGTTTCGATCTATCTCTGAAACAAATTCTGGGTTTTGGTGGAGAAGACGATGAACAGTAATTGATTGTATGGACGGATGTTCATGGATAGTTGAAATGAAAACAGAATTTGGAAAGATTATAACGACCATAATAAGTGGACGGATGATCATGGACGGATGATCGTGGACATACAATTGTGGACGGACGATCATGGACACAACAACAACAAAATCTGTGAATCGTAGATTCTAAACAATAAGAGTGTTCTCACTGATGGTTGTAGTCTAAAAAACAAAGAAAAAATAATAATAATAGTAGCAGGAACAAACAACAGAAGCTCACAATCCAGATTGTGATTTGAAATATGAATGCATGTGATTATTTTGTTCCATCCATATGTGTTCATGATCATTTGTCCATCCAAACATGTCCATGCAGCCATCTTGTTTTTATTAATCGAAACATGTCTATGATCATTTTATCCATCCAAATTTGTCCATATCCATCTTGTGTTATGCAATATAGAACTAACAACAACTTAATTTTGTCCATCTAATATGGTTTAGCTAAAAGTTCATATTGTGAATTAGTAGAAATTTTAATCATGGACAAATGCTTGATTTGAATCAGTACAATTTGTACCAGTTCTGATGGAGAAAGAACTTCATGGAACATAATTTAGTTATGCATATTTGTCCATAGTTGGTTGTCCACACTTTAATCATCCATAGTTCAAAATCTTTAGCTTCATATTGAGTTGTGGACAAGTGTTTGTGTGTGAAAAAAACAAATCACAAGCTCGTGTATAACTTAAACTAAGAATGGGTATCTACATAGTCGAACAAATGTGGGTAAAAGTGCATGGACAATGCTTATGATATTGAATAGAGAAGAGTTAGATTTTTGTTGGAACTTTGCCCATGCCATCTTGTCCATACAGTATTGTACATGCATCTCAATATCGGTGGACAAGGAACCCCTTCACCTTCCATACAGAGAACTACGAAGACGATGGTGGTTGTATCAGAGTAGATCTGAGATCTCTGGTTAAAATCATTGTGTGAACCGTGGTTTAAGTTTTGTATGTGATTGAAGTAAGAATTCAAAATTTATAGGATTAGAATTTTCCAGATTCTGATATGAGCGCCGACAGATTTGTTTAATATGGATTAAGATGGATTCATCCTTCGGATTATCGGTAGTGTAAAAGTTTATGGTGAACTTTGACGTTGTCGGTAATAAACTAAAAATCTGTTCGGCACTGTTTTATATTTTTTATGGTGGAAAAGTAAAATATTATTTTTTGGCAGAAATAATAAAAATAAAAATTAGTTACTATAAAAGTATAATAAAAAGAAGGGTGTATTAATCTTTATAAAATGAGAAAGTGTGCTACATGTTCAATGTGTACAAACTTGTAATGAAAGTGAAAAAAAGTGTGTAGATGTAATTATATAATCTGACTATATTATATAAGTTAAGCTGTTTTCTAAGTTCCTCCTGTTATATTTTGGTTTACACGTGGAATCTTTGAGAGAGTCTGCATCATCTACCAATCGAATCTAGTCTGATTAACGTGTAATCAATATAGCCACTCTAGAAATCTTCTGACTAACGTGTAATCAATATAGCAACTCTACATAAAACCACAAGAGAGACAACCAAATGTTATGATGATAGATTTTACTTCTCCAAACAACAATGATTCGAACTATGAAGTAGAAATTGAAGAACAAGAGATGATTTATTGAATCAAACGAAAGTATCCAGAGAACTACAAAACCTTACTACAACTATTAGTTGAATGGCACATCGCAGATTCTCTTTACAATATAATCGGCTAACAAAAGACTTTATTCATTGCACTAGCTCAGCAACTCAGTCGTCATCGACTGCTCCAAACTTGATTGGTGAAGTCTATCATATGAATCCTATACAATTCGAGCCAAAACAATTCTATATCCTATATTGTATATCTCAATTGTTTGATCAATCAAAAATTCAAATTGATCTGTCTTCATTGTCTCTCTTCTTTCCTGATCTGTCTTCATTGTCTCTTTTCTTCTTGGTCCTGCTTCCCTCTGCTGGCTTTTCTGATAGACAATATTAAGAGACGTGTCTGAGACTGAGTTTCTCTGTCCTTCTAAACAAAAAACAAACTCAAAGAAGCAAAATCTCCACTGGATTTTTCTTTTTACCTGGATTCACAGTGATTTTCTTCTTGGTCTCGCTTCCTTCTGCTGGATTAGTTTTTTCCTTTTCTGATAGACAAAATAAAGAAATGGGTCTGAGTGTCTGTATCTGTGTATACAAAATCAAAGTCAAAGAAACAAAATTTCCTCTTTCTTCATTACCTGGAACAGGATTCCTCAGGCTGCTTAAGAGAATCATCTTGTGTAGCTTAGGCTCACGGACAGCAGTGAATGCTAGGCAGTAGAGGGAAAGGTGTTTGTGTCTGAACCAGTACAAATTCCAGTTTGGATATTTATCTAAAGTGAGACTGGTGGTCAGAATGTCGTAGCCACAGAATTCAAAGCTGTAAGTGGCGCCTGCGGATTTCCAGATTTGAGACGGAACTGGATCATGGAAGAAGATCCAGTTCGTGCTCACTTTTTGTGGATTGGTGAACATCTCTTGATCCCAAGGATGGAGCAAGAAGATTTCTGAGTCAGAGAGTTCAGGAACTCCCGTCTGAATGTTTTCAGACTTCAGGAGGATGAGGCTGGAGCAGGTCTTGTCACGCTCATCACTTTGGAAGCCCCCAAGACTCTTGTAGGGAAGATCTTGATGCGAGAGAGTCAAAGAAAGCTCTTGGTGATCCGCGCAGCAATAGAAGAATGAAGGAGGAGAGCAGCGGCGCGAGAGTGAGCATCCGAGTAAGGAACACCGCTTCCCGTAGCTCAAGGCTGATCGTGGAAGATAGGAACCGGTGGTTTCCGTGGAGGATCTTGTCGGAGGAGAAGAAGAGTAGCCGCAGCTTCCTGTGTAAAAAAACAGAAACTTACTTTGGGCCTAAAAACCCTGGAAAGAAAGAAAATAACACAGCCCAAAAGCATAACACTAAATTTCGGGCCCTCAAAAAACCCTATAATCAACCAAATAATAAATTCGGGCCAAAAGAATTATATATTGTGTGTATATCCGAATCGAATGTTATGAATAACCCCTAGAGTTGTATAAAATCAAAGCAACTTCGGTCCAAAACAATTCGAAACCCTATACTATATAGTTCCGAATCGAATGTTATGAATAATCCTAGAGTTGTATAAAGAAACTCAAGAGGCAAATTCGGGCCAAAACAATTCGACACCCTATACTATATAGTTCCGAATCAAATGTTATGAATCCTAAAGATGTATAAAGTCAAAGGCAAATTTGGGCCGAAGCAATTTGAAACCCTATACTATATAGTTCCGAATCAAATGTTATGAATAATCCTAGAGTTGTATAAACCCAAAAGGTAATTTCGGTCCAAAACAATTCGAAACCTTAGACTATATATTCCGAATCGTTTTGATCAAATGAATTATTCAAAATTGGGTCCTAGATTGTCAAATTCGGGGCCTAATTCGAACGTAAAAGGAAAAAGAGAGATCATTATACAGTATAAAAGAATCAGAACACTAACCATCATCTCCGCTTCGTCTCTGTCTTCGTTCGTCGTCATCGTCGAGAGGGGAGAACAAATCACGGTCTCTGATCTGAAATAACAGAGAGAAATTAAGCCGGAGAAATTAAACGCAGAAGCGGAGACCAGAGAAGTGAAACCAACCCTAGGAGTGGAGAGAAGTCGCGCCCTAAGAGAGATACGGAGTTCTTCGTCGTCGTCGAGCGAAGAGTGAGAAAATTGATTCCGAGAGAGAGAGAGAGAGAGAGAGAGAGAGAGAGAGAGAGAGAGAGAGAGAGAGAGAGAGAGAGAGAGAGAGAGAGAAATTTTGGTTTTATGAGACGAGAGTGCGGTGATAGTATTTTAAAGGACGGATTTGGCGCACAAGTTAATACGGACGCAAGCTTGTGACGGAATCTTTGGTAAGCAATATTGAAAAGCGTCTTGCCGCAAAAGTTGTATGTTGAAAGTCGGATATAAGGAAAGCATTGGATGCTAGTCTGTTGGGGATTTCGTGCTTAAACTATTAGAGGCTCAACACTTTGCCACCTCTCTTTAGAATTTGGATGCATCACCTCTCCACGGTTCTCTATTGCAATAAACTGTGAGTTGGCAGGTATTTTCCCGGGCAAGAAAGGATTGAGACAAGGAGATTGAATTTCGCCATACCTCTTCATCATGGCAAAAATGAGACTATCTCTCACGGGTATAACTGATGTTATGGCTGCGTTCAGAGAAATGTGTGGTTTGTTGCAAAAACGGAATATCGGTCAACTTCTGGAGCTCCGTTTTAGTTCTGCCAAAGCGGTTCTATGCAAAAGTGGACTCAGCAAGGTTTTCTCGCCAGTATGCTACAGCTTAAACAAGTTCTACCTGATTTCCTGAGATGCGATGTTGGTAACGGTCTCACTATCTCAAAGGTGCATTTGTCTCCCTTCGTTCATTGTGTATACAGTTGAATGTTACATGTTTTCAGCTACTTTCACCTGACATGTAACAAGGAGTTTCGTGACAAGATAATGACTGATTACTTCACATACTTGAATGTTACATGTTTTCAGCTATTTTCATCCGACATGTAACACCTCTCTGTGCTTGCTTCCTTCTCCTTAACTACCCATGTCGACAACTTTGTAGTTGGTAGGAAGTTCAGTGATGTTCACAAAAACCAAAACCCAAGAGTAGATGGATGATATACTCTGCTTTCTGGCAAGTAGTATTCTTGAACAAACCGAAATACCGAATCAGGAACCAAACCGTACCTTCTACCACAGTCTGAGACGGTTTCCCTACTATTTTATTTGCAAGTCTCCCTGAAGTCAACAGACAACTTCTTGAGTGTCTATGTGTTCTAACACACAAAACATAACAGGGAGGAAAACAGAGGAAAAGAAGGAGGCAACACTACGGTAAAAATAGTCATATTATCTGATTTGAAGCACCAACACAAGAAAATGTATCAGTCTTTCCCAATGTATGTGCAAAGACACTCATATATAGCAATCTAATACTACACTTCCTCTGTAAGTTACTCTCCCCAGCCTTCTTCTTCCGGAAGTAAGTTCTATGGAACGTAACGCTCTCCCATCGATCCATCTGAAGTGGTTTCTTGTTTGCAACTGCGCTGCCTTAGTTGTTCTCGATCTCTGAAACTGCACTGCCTGAGTCGTTGTTGTTGATCTCTGATGCGTAATTGATAATGTGGGAACGAGAGACATTGATAATGTGAAACTGAACACAAAGTGGCTCGCTTCCTTCTCGTTTTTTTTTCTTGCTTGGCCTCTCCTGCTGCTCTCTAAAACTTTACTGCTTGTGTGTCTTGTTTAAATGACTACATTAAACATTTTGAAGACTCTAATTTGATACACAGTATTATCCATATTCTTCCTTTTAATTCGTTGACAATGAACCAGCTCATGATCCGATTGTAAATAGGGCGAGTTTTACCATAGGTTTTAATTAGGTGTAGTCAAGACACTACTACTACTCTTAACGTGAACTTGTTGTTTGTACCTGAATCATATTGGTCCTTAATTCTATGTTTGAAAGTTTGTCACATTTGCACAGATATGTGGTGACTTTTGGAACAAGAAAGTTGAAAGTGAGAGCCTTTATAAAGAAAAAGCCCAACAAAGATGAATATCAATCAAAACGCTACATCACTTGGATTTATGAAAAATAGCCGGCTCGTCCCGGTCAAAAGAAACCGTCCCCTACAAGTCACAACATAACTTGAATGTCAAGGATCCAAACCCAAAATCACACAACCGATTACTAATTCTTAGTGATATAATTTGGTTTAGGGTCTGCACTCTGCTGCATCTAGTAATCGATTAAATTGGTATGAATTCTGGTCAACGTGTAAATATAGCCGGTATCCTCTTTATAGAAAACCACAAAATTAGTATGAATTCTGAAAGTTTACAATTTACTCGGGATTTGGATTCTGTAACAAAAAGCTGAACCAAAAAATAGGACATAAACTTCTGCTATCCAATTGAAGCATGTTCACAAATTTTTAGTCTGAGAATGTGATTCGGATATCAGGAATATGCAACCATTATATTTGTGTTTGCATCAACCGAAATTAACCGAGATAGCCGAAATTCATCAAAATTTACCGAAATTCTCAGATTTTTCCTCGACTAAACCTACAATTTCAGTTCCAATTGGCACTGAATTTAATAACCGAACTAGCCGCTATCCGAACTGAACCAAGGCGTCATCTTATTCGGTGGTTTCAATAAATGAAAAACCGAATAAACCGGTCGGTTCGCTTGCGGTTAACCGAAATCCCAGGCCTCTCTAATAACACGTGCGGGCTAACCACACACGTGCTTGCACTTAGACTTTCGTCTTCTCTCTTTCGATAACTACTAAACATTCATCGCTCGCCACACAAATTAAATGCCACTGTTCCTCCGTCGAATCCTTTCTCCCTCCGTCGTCTCCTCATTTTTTCTCCGCCGCTCAATGGCTTCCAAATCAATCTCCTCCGATCCAATCAACCCGTCAAACATCCGAATCGGTTGGATCGGAACCGGCGTTATGGGCCGATCAATGTGCGGACACCTAATCAGAGCCGGATACTCCGTCACCGTCTTCAATCGAACCATCTCCAAAGCCCAGACACTTCTGGACATGGGTGCGAAGCTAGCTGACTCGCCGAACTCACTCGCTGCTCAATCCGACGTCGTTTTCTCCATCGTCGGTTACCCATCCGATGTCCGCCACGTCCTCCTCGATCCAAACTCCGGCGCTTTGTCCGGTCTAACTCCAGGCGGCGTCCTCGTCGATATGACTACCTCAGAGCCTTCGTTAGCCGAGGAGATATCTGAAGCAGCTTCCTCCGTGAACTGCTTCTCAATCGACGCTCCTGTTTCCGGCGGAGATATCGGTGCTAAGAACGGGAAGCTAGCGATATTCGCCGGAGGAGACGAGACCACCGTGAAACGTCTAGATCCGTTGTTTTCACTGATGGGTAAAGTGAATTTCATGGGAACAAGCGGGAAAGGGCAATTCGCGAAGCTGGCGAATCAAATCACAATCGCTTCGACGATGTTAGGGCTCGTGGAAGGGATCATCTACGCTCACAAAGCCGGGCTCGATGTTAGGAAGTTTCTAGAAGCGATTTCGACCGGAGCTGCAGGTTCGAAGTCGATAGATTTGTATGGAGATCGGATTCTGAAGAGAGATTTCGATCCAGGGTTCTACGTGAACCATTTCGTCAAGGATTTAGGGATTTGTTTGAAGGAATGTGAGAGGATGGGACTGGCTTTGCCTGGATTAGCTCTTGCTCAACAGCTTTACTTGTCCCTCAAGGCACATGGTGAAGGTGATCTCGGAACTCAAGCTCTCATCTTGGCTCTTGAGCGACTCAACAATGTCTCTGTATCTTGAAGTTTTGTAACATTTGTGTGGAGATTTATGTTTATCCATTTGTGTAATAAAGATTTGAACTTTTTGTGTACCCATATGTTGCTAGGACATGAAATCCCGCTGGAATCTGGAAATCTATACATCAAAGCCTTTGTTCAAAAAAAAAAAAAAAAAAATTTGGGTTTGTGTGGTTATGGTATTTGTAATTTGTTCTGTGTGTACTCTGGATTAGAAACTGTGTATGCTGAACATAATTGGTTGTTGATCAATTCGCATGGGTTTAAGCTATTGTCTAGGCTTTGAAAAATGAGAAAATTTCCATTTGCTAAGGTTTTTCAGAAGGGTATTGGCTTGATGGAGAAAGGTTGATCCAATGGGAAGACTTATGTGAGAATGAGGGCCAAATTAAAGAAGATGAGGAAAAGAGATTCAATCACATTGAGGTCAATGCAATCTGACTGGTGGTCGCTTTTAAGTGAAGAGGTCTTTGTTATCTTGCTGAATTTACACTTGTCAACCCAAAAGTTCGTGTGCATGTATCATCGCATAGATATTCAAAGGCTTTTAAGGACATTGGGACTGGAATACATGATAGAGATAGTCGCTGGAGGTAATTGTGCAGAGCTCAGACACGTATAGTAACTAAAGACTGGGAACGTAAAACCTCTCGTAGCAGTAAGAGTGAAACAACTTCTGAAGCTAATCAAGACTGTTTCTTGTTGTTCCTAAAGAGGGTTGAAGTTGAAGTTGAAGTCGAGATCGGGACTGTGTATGATGTTGCGGATCGAATCTTATGGGAAGTATGAATCTGAACTTGGAATGAGAGACAACATTGCTCCTTCACGGGAATGTATGGACAAGAAAGCTAAGGTTAAGGTCATTGTTAGTAAAGTTATTGCTGTTACTGCAAAAGCCTTTACAATGAGTACCATTACGTTGGATCTCGCCTCATCAAAGATGGTGAATGTCCAAGAGTACCCTGCTGAGAACATGGAAGATGACGTGTTGGTAGAGGTCTTAGTACTTGAAGAAAAGGCGGCACTCGTTGCTTACAAGACTTCCGACATAACAGCGATCATATCACCAGCGGTAGAATCGATTACGGAACTGGAATGGTTTCCTGAGGCTTGCTTATCAGAGACAGGTAC